AGTTCTCCCACCCCACCACCTGCCTCTCTGCCTACTTCTGTTTTCTTTCTGTCAAATAAATAAATAAATAAAATCCTTTAAAAAAATAAGAAATATTAGATGATGACTCACTATTTCATACTCATTCTGCATACACTCTGCAGGCAGCTATAATCAATAGAGATGCTACTTTGCAGAATCAAATTTTGATTCATTTTCCAATGCATTAGAAATAGTTCACTTGTTAAAACTGGTTTCCTTTATGGTAAAAGTGTAAAAGTTTAGATTAGATAGATTTTCTAACAACCCAAAATATTCTGGGGGAAATTGTTCTTCCTATACAGTAGGAAGAAAAAAGCTCTATCTCCAAAATATTTCATGTCTTATAATTTTCATAATTCCCACAAACCTATTAAGAATCCAAGAATGAAGTTCCAACTTTACACAGATAGATGCTATAGCTAGAATAAATAGTCAGATCTGGCTAAAACTAACTCAGTGATAAATAGTCTTTAGAAACAGAGAAATAGTTGTGAAAGATGCAACCAAGAGCATTTCCAACTTAAGTTACAAAAGAGAAATGAAAACTCATATTATTTAAAATATAGGTATTCTAAATATTATACCATTTTATATGACAGAAATCATAAAAAGATAAAATACAATCTGTTAAGTATGGAAGGATTTTTATAAAATTATTCAAACATCCACATTTTTAGAAAATCGATCAGATACATCTGACCGGGTACTTGGAGGCCAAATGAGGTGACAGATGTTGTTAATATCTCCCAGCAAGCATTGCCACATTTACAAAAACTTCGACATGTCATGAAACAAACGGCTCTTTTTTAAAAGACATTGACTTCATAAAAATAGCATGCCCTTTGGTTTCAATTAAATGTCTTTTGGGTTTCTATTATTTTCCAATGCAATATTCATTGTTAAAAATGCTATTAGGTAATGCTTGCATTTACTTTCTTGTCTTCAGAGTTCCTGCTAACAGCTGGTCAGGTAAGTTTCAATCCACACCCTGGCAGGAATGGAAATTTATCAACTCTGCCCCTCCCACAATGGCACTTCTCCAAGTGCCATTTTGGAATCCAGGGTAAAATTGTCATTGATTGATTAAGGGGGGGGGGACACAAATGTATGGTATATATATATATATTTTTAAACAACTTCACACGTTCTATGCTTTCCACTAAATTAAATATTTAACTTACTATATTTGTATTTTTTTTGTTATTTCCAATGGGGTCTCTTTTTAGAGACCTCCTTATAATATTTGATCCACACCTTTCAACCCAAATCCCTACACTAGAGAGAGAAGAGAACTATTTTTGCTTCATATAACCATTGTCTTGGACATTCTCTTATACCCCAATTTCTATATTATTCTAACTTTTTTTTTACTTATTCCATAGGATCTGCAAAATGCATGTTAAGCTATTATAAATGGTTTGTTATTGTTATTTTTTTCCTTTAACAGTCCTGTAGTGAAGATGGGGGGTACTATTTAATTTATCAACTAGAATAGCTGAATACCAATCAGTGGGTAGAAATTATCAAGGCCTACTGACAGAGAGACGAAATGGGGAGTGTTTTCTAGAAGAAAACTGATTTGCTAAGAAGTAAAGAACTGATCAACTCCATGCCAGCATCTCCAGAAAGTCTGTCCAATTTTGCCTCCACACCATGTGACCCGCTCTTCTGCTTGTCCTATTTATTTCCTCAAGGAATTCTGGAACTCCAGACCCCTCATTTTCTTCGTTACTTTCCTTCCCTCCCTCACTCTTTTTCTCCCTTCCTTCCATCTTTCCTTTCTTTCTTCTTCTTTTTCTTATCAGGATTTTAATAAAGTTTTCATGGAGCAAATATATTCCACAACTGAAAAAAACAAAAGTTTTAAAACTGAGCCAGATAACTTCTCATGTTGCTTTTAGTTCTAACACTCTACAATCGTGATTCATTTATGACTATAAACATGGGGGGCCCTGAATTAGGAACAAAGGTTGAAACTAGAGGAAAGTGAGAAAAAGTGAAAATTTGCAGAACTGACATGATTTAAGGACAGAATGAGGACTCCTTTCTGGCCTGGTTCCCTTTTCGACAGGCTCTGTCTTCCTTTTCTAACTTTTTGTCAGACAACAAGATTTCTGACCCCCAACCCTATAAATATAATTATATTAGACAGGGAAATTCAAAAGAAAACTTTTTAAAGTGAGTATGTAGCCATTGTGGAGAACATAAGCTTCTTATCTATATTATATGTATATGTACACAGAGAATATAAGTTACTTGTGCAGCTAGAGTGTAACTGAAACAAGTAAAAGCCAGTTTTATAAGGCAAGATATTGACCAATAGAAATTCATAGCTGAGCATCAAGAAGGTCTCTCAATTATCAATAGTGAACATGGAAAACCAAATACGTTGTTAATTCTCTTCGCTATTTCATTTGAAAATTGCTGTGGGTTTTTTCTCTAAATCCTTCCGCAAAATTCTAAAACAAAATTTTTCAGTTGAATTTCATCACTGGTTAAGAATTATAAATGGTTAGAAAATTTTAACAGGTTAACCGTTAATATTTCATGCTAGTTGATCAATAACTATTGCACACGGCTACTGTCCAGCATTACCTTTCAAAAAGGATACTATTTACATTTACAACAGGGTGATTTTATTTTATTTTATTTTATTTTATTTTATTTTATTTTGGTCTGGTTTTCTGGATTTCGGGTTGTTACGTTTGTCCTTGCTGGCTCTGATACTCATAGGGCTCATACCCATTGGACTCATACCACATTGGGCTTCTGGGTGCCCAGATTCAAAGCTTGTTTGAATATCTTTAATCTAGGATTGAATCTATTTATCCTTTCAAATAACCCAACAGAGATATGACTACAGATGACCATGCCCTACAAGGCTAAAAATTTGGTGTGGTATGATTGGTCAATCAGGAATGATGCAATCCACCATTAAATGTAGCTAAATCTTAAGGGAAGGAGCATAATGAATCACTAAGGAGGGTCTGAGAATTCATCAAACACCTACTATGTGCCAAGCATTGTTTGCGATTTCACAGACATCATCTCTTTTGAGTGAGGAAAGTCAGTCAGTCTCCAATATCAACCACTTAAAGCGCCCTGAGAGTTACACTAGAGTTTGAAGGAATTTTGGAGGTCATTCACGTGCCCGTGCTGCTAATCGAGGCAAGCTAGGAGGGTTTTCCGTGTCAACAGGCTGTAAGAACATGATTTCATCAAGGGTAGAGTTAGGTGGCTCCTCCTAGGTGTGTTACAACTCATCCTCAGTTATGAACCAATCTTTTAACTCTTTAGTAACTAGTCTTTTTTGGCCTGGACTTAAAACTTCAGGAATCCCAGAACGATTCACCAAAGTCTTTGCCAGCTTGTGATGGAAAACAGTATGATTAACATTCTCTCTGATGTGATAAAAACAGTTTTTGAAATATCATAAGGGGGCTCTTTTTCCATCTAATTTTACATCACATTGCTGGGGAAATAGAATGTTTATGGGGAAAATATCAGCATAGAGGTTTTGGTCTAACGAAAAAATGCATCCTTTATCTAAAGTAGATGATTGACCTCACATTCATCATGTTATCCTCCAAACTTAAAAGGCTGGCATAACATCAAAAATGTATACATACACCATGAAAATGACAAAAAACAACACTAGTAAACACTAAAAGCACACTAAGCTTGTTTTAAAACTTGCAATCACCCTTGAGATATCAATCACCCTTCCCATCGAAGCCCTCCGTTCTCCTGGATCCCGACCTGAAGCCTCCAGGCTTGAAACAACAACAGCTGTCTGCCCCAAAGAGACAGAGACACAGAGACACAAGACGGCCAAAGCTACAGGATGGCAAAGAATACAACACTGGACAAGCAGCACATTTGCAATCAGAACCTCTGGACCCTGTGCTGAATCCTACTAGCCAGACATCTAGCAAATACCTCTTACACTTCAATTTTCCCACCCATAAAAAAAAATAGGAATAATAATATGGCTTCCCTTGCTCTAATGTGTTATACAAATATTAGCACTACTATCATAATTATATAGAATTAGTACAGCATAAATGGTTTTTCTTTTCATTTCTGAGCCAGATCTATATGACATCTCTTTCTTTCTTCTGTAATTGTAAATCAGAGCTTCAACCAGAATATAGCCTTCAGGTCAAATCCAGCCCACTGCCTGCTTCTGTAAATGAATTTTTATCGACACACAGCCATGCCCATTCATTTACTACTATCTATGGCTGCTTTCCAGCTACAATGGCAAAGCTGAGCAGTTATGAAGAAACCACAGGGCCTGCAAAATCAAAAATATTTACTGTCTGGTCCTTTACTGAAAAGTTTGCCGATCCTTGCTTTAAATGATAAAACATCATCATTTTTTACACCCGTGAAATTGTTATAGCCTTAGATATATAACCTCTCCTTATAAAAAACAAATGTTATAATACAGATAAGAAATACAGTTTCTTAAATTGAAAATACTCATTTTCGGTTTGACCTTGGTCCCGGGAAAAACTCTAGACCCCTTGAGTATCACATTAAAATAACAGCCCAGACGTTCATTTGGTAAATAACTATTTATTGCACGCCCACTATGTGTCAGGCATATCCAGTGAACAGGAGCTCGATTGCTCCTCGATTCTTGATGCCTAGAGCAGCAGGAGCTTACAGCCCAGACTGTCTTACCTGCATCTAGATGTACGAAACCTTCCACATCATTATTTCATTCAGTTCCTCCAATAAGCCAGGGAGGAAGACATTGTTCTCCCAACAAATGAGAGAGCTGGGACTCAGACACTTTAAGTTGCTCACAGTCATGATGCTGGAAAGTAGCTGGATGACAGGATGATAAAGGAGGACCTCTTTTGCGCTCTATGCCAAGAATAAAGATCTTCAAACATCTCGCTTCAGCACTAGGACAACTATCCCCAAAGTCACCTATACCATCAACCACTCACCCACTTCCCAGTACATACCTGGAAGCCCGTGAGAACTGTCCCCAGCTAAGGTTTGTGCTCTGTCAAAGTCAGTTCAATTATCACACCGAGGAGGGAGCAGCCAAGTCCTACAGCCTATGAAAACTGGTAAGGATAGGTGTTGAGCAAGTAATTCTGTGACTTTATAATTATGACCATGAATCACAATGATGAACCTATAAGACAGAAGAGGGGTAAAAAGACCTACATTTATGGTCATTAGCTCAATGAATTTTAAATTAATTATCTCTAAGTCAGTTATCACTCCTTTAGAATAGATCATGCCATGGGCACAGCCTCTCTCTAAGAATTTGTTCACCAGCCTGCTGTTTTCAGGGAAACCATGGGTTATAGAGCAAGCCTTTAGAAAGGGCTGCTAGGAAACCCTGGACTTCTTTCTCTGTTCCTTATTCTCCCCCCAAACAACTTAGAAAGACCTTTCAGCACTGTGAACCTCCATAAGTTCATAGTTTGTAAACAGAATACACAAAACCCAAGAGGAATGGTTTTCCTAGCGTATCCCAGCCAACTCCCAGCAAATGGATTGAGTGGCCACAGAAATCTATGGTCTGAGCTAAGTATGAAGCGAAGGCAAGTGCAGCTGAGAGAGAAGACTCGGGTATTACAAATCATGTTCTCTGTGGCCGTATCACCGACCCCATCGTGATGCAATTCCACAGCTATCTAGAACAATTCACTGAGCATTCTCCCCAATCACTACTTTTTCTTCACTACCTCAGACAAAACCCAGCCAATGGACAAATTCTCTCCCCTCTTCCCTTGATTTCCTCGGTTCCTTCTCTTTCTCTCTCTTTCTTTCCTCCTCATTCCCTCTCCCCTAGTTTCATCTGACCTATTTCCCCAGTGTTCTTGCTCTTTCTCCCAGAGTAAGGCTATGTCAGAGGAAATAATTCATCTACAAATAATTCACCTACAAAAACTTACCAAATATTACCTATCACCATAGAGAAACACTGGGTCCTTTCAAAAACATGGTTCAGATATTGTTAAGGAAAATGACACCTCCTAGGAGGATTTTTTTTTTTAAGCTGCTTTGAGGCCAGTTAGTCCATTTTGCAGCTTACAGCAAAGCTATGGCACTGAGTTTCCATAGAAAGGCCCTTCCTCTTTATGTAATTCAAGGGCAGTTACCTGATCTTCCATGAAAACCCACCCCTAAGCTGTGACTGAGTGAGAAGCAAATACTATCTATAATTATATCAGAAATGAAGACCTAATCCCATTACGAAAGAAAACTCTGAAATTCTGTGGAATGTTAAAATTGTGAACTCCTAACCTATACACTAGAGAATCTGAGAATCTAAAGGAACTTAAAGTAGCATGTAACTTGCAAGTACAAAATTGGTTTCCTTACATAAGTCAAATTGAACCCACAGAATGTAACTAAGAATATAACTGCAAAAGTAACAAAAGTTTTGAATTAGAAAGATAGTTAGAAATTTGGTATAATAGGGGTGCCTGGGTGGGTTCGGTGTCCAACTCTTGATTTTGGCTCAGGTCATGATCTCAGGGTCCTGGCATCAAGCCCTGTGCTGGCTCCACACTCAGCAGGAAGTCTGCTGGAGATTTTTCTCCCTCCTCCTCTGCCCCTCCTCATCCCTCAACCCTCTCTATCACAAATAATAAGTAAATCTTTAAAAAAAAAAAAAAGGGAAAGAAATTTGGGATAGTAGACTATAAATGAATTTTAAATAATACAGATTATTTGAGAAAATTAAATATATTCAGTCACGTAAACAAAAAATAATTACAAGTTGATCAAATCACAATTTTCTTTTTTTCTTTACATCCTGTTTTTACATAGTTAAGCTCACACTACATTCTAGTTTTATGTCTTCCATCTGTTTCATTTACTACTTCACCCTAATTATTTCTCCATATTTTAAAATTCTGTTCATAACAATTATTTTTAGGGACTACGTGAATGTACCATAAATTACTCATCCATTCTTTTATTAATTCAACAATTAGATGGTTTCCAATTTATATAAATACTGCTACTGAAAGTATTTGGTTTTAGCCTGTTATCTGAATCTCAGATGGTCTTTTTAGCACAGATATCTAAGCAGTAAATTAATGGATGAAATTTATGAACATTTTGGGGCACCTGGGTAGCTCAGTGGGCCTCTTTCTGTCTTCGGCTCAGGTCATGATCCCAGGGTGCTGGAATCGAGCCCCACATTGGGCTCTCTGCTCAGCACGGAGCCTGCTTCCCTTCCTCTCTCTCTGCTTGCCTCTCTGGCTACTTGTGATCTCCGTCTGTCAAATAAATAAATAAAATCTTTTTTTTTTTAAAGAAATTTATGAACATTTTTATACCTGATAATACCATGGCAAATGTACTCCAGAGAAATCCCACCACTGACGGAGCTTCCATTCCACTGTTCTTTACCATCCAGTTTTTCCTCTCCTAAAACCTGGTAACCAAGCCTTCTCCCTCCTAAGAACGCTCCCTGAGAGAACAGTGAAAAAGGTCAGCATCCTCTACCACTCATGTTACACACGTCACTACTTTGCGCAACTACATGAATGACTGTTTAGACCATCTACAATTCTTTCAAGTCAGATTTTGATCAGCTTTCAACTAGTCTCTCCCATCAGGGTGGGGACAGGGTTTGACCTCTTAATGTCAGAGGATTCCTAAGGAAACACCAAAGACAGGCTGGAGCCTAGCTTTCTTGTATTTTCCCTGGAGATCTTCCACCTTGTAGCAATTCTGTGCATCCCATAGTGGCCAACCATGACGTATGTAGGATAAAACTTAGAAAATGAGGCTCAAAAAGTTAATCCATCTGTTTATATTATTACACAAAATTAGACTGGAAAAAAAAAAAAAAGTCGTGTACATGGGGGTTATCCATGAAGTTACCTAGCTGGTTTTCCCTTCTACCATGAGGGTTCCTGGGAGAATGACCACTCCACCACCATCTGTCTCCCAGGGATTTGGGAATATAACTCCCTTAGAAAAGCTGGGCACTAGATATCCATGTAAGTACCCAAACAACATGACAGAATTTCATGGCATTTTGTTTGAAAGCGGAGGGAGGAGGGTAGGAATAGGAGAGGGAGAAGAAGGAGGGGACAAACGTTAGTTAGTGACACAGCCAGACAAGAAGACAAAGTCTTTGGTGACCCCCACATCCCTTCCTGATGCCCTCTGTTCTCCCACATCCTAGAGCCTCTCCCTATTTCTGGAGATGATGGTGGCAAAACCCCACGACATGCAACACTTTCTAGTGCTTATTCAGTTTTGTGGAAGAAGTGTGAATATTTTGTGCATCCTCTTATCATCCCCCTCCTTTTTAATAGATTTTTAGAGAGCCTTTGAGTGTACTGAAAAATTATACAAGAAGGAAGAAAACACGCTTTCTGGTTTCACACCCTCTTACTGGTTCAGACTGAGCCTTCGGAATGGCCTTGGCTGTGGCTACTATGGGCAATTATGGGAGCCCCTGAGGAGAGCCATGGTCACCAAAAGGAAACAATTAGAGGGAAGAAGAAATGACTCTGGTAAATGTGGAATCTTGATTTTCTTTTTCTTACAGAGAGAATGGTTGGTAGTCCCAGCCTCCCAGGAGAGTGTCCATAGTTTAAATATTGGCCAGAAATAAAAGAAAAATTTTCAAGGAGAACTTTTTCCTATAAAATTCAATTCACTTTAGACTTTTGAGGAAAGAGTGAATAAACTATGTCTTAAGTAAAATTTGCCTCATTCTATTTTTCTCAAGTAAACTTTCTCCTTTCAGATACTGTGAGGTCCACAGGCAACAACCACTGAGGGTAAGGGCACTGGTTATGTATAAAACCCCAACAACAGAAATACATGTATCAGTTCAGTCTAATAACTGTGCTCGAACTTAAGGGAAGCATCAGGATATTTGCAGAAATTCTTCTCTCAGAAATTCTTCCTCACTGCGTAACATTGACCTAGTCAGCAAAACAAGGAGACTCCTCTTCACCAAAACCTACTGAGCCTTCTGGTTTCGTAAATGCCAGATGGTAAAAGAAAGTTCAAAATTGATGAACAATACGTGTCCACTTCAAATTTTGGTGCCACACAGAAAGGGGACTAACAGTAGAAGTTAGGGTGGCAAAGAAGAGAGCCAGGAATCAAAGTTGGTGGCAGAGGGATCAGGGAAGGACGCATCTCTCTGCTTCATCCATGATATAACGAGAACCGTGACCAGTATTTTGCTGAGCCCAAGATGCATTTGTCTTCTGCTCAATAATTCAAGGCAGGGGTGCCTCAGAGGCTCAGTTAAGCATCTGCCTTCAGCTCAGGTCATGATCCCAGGGTCTTGGGATCGAGCACCACATCGGGCTCCCTGCTTAGCAGGGCATCTGCTCCTCTCTGCCTCCCCAACCTGCTCATGCTTGTACCCCCTCTCTCTCTCTCACAAATAAATAAATTCTTTAAAAGTAATAATTCAAGGGATCTGATCACAATAGAAAATCAGATTCTTTTTGACCTAACCTGCTCTTTTATTTTTTAATTCCATACTTATTAATTTATTTTTAAACCACTTTATTGACCTATACCTGACATTAAAAAAAACTATACACATTTAATGTATATAACATGATGGGCTTGAAGATAACTATACACCTGTGAAACTATCACTACAATCTTCAGTTTTAGTCCTCTTGAGACATATTCCCTTTTAATGCCTCACAGGAAAGGATATAATTTTGTTGAGTTTTTTAATATGTGTCTAGAAAGCCGAGGCTTCATACTCCAGTAGTCCTTGCATTCCTCACCTTTGACCTCTAACTTTTGCTTCACCTCCTTAGGGCTTCCATATACCAATGAGATATTTTCTTATAACTCAGAATTAAACCCAGAATATTACACAAACAGAAGAATGAAGCTGGACCCTACCTGACACCACCCACAAAAATTAACTCAACATTGATCAGACCTAAGTATAAGAGCTAAAACTCAAAAGCTCTTACAAGAAAACATAGAAGTGAATCTTTATGATCTTAGGTTAGGCTGTGGTTCCTTATATGTCACACACACACACACACATACACACAAAATAGAACCGAAAGAAAAAGAGCTATACTGGA